TGAAGTACCCGTACCTCTGGAGGACGTGCGGAGCCTGGCGGTCCGTGATGGCCAGCACCCGCAGCATGAGCGTCAGGGGGATCCCAAGGCACCAGAGCAGGAGGCCCGCCGTGGCGAGCGTGGCTGGGAGCCCATAGGCCTGGGACTCCGCCTCACAGCGGACATCTGGGCTCGGAACCAGGCGAAGGACCTCGTCCCCCTGGTTCTCGGCCATGGGAACGCACCAGAGGAGCTGAAGGAATCCGGAGAGCAGGATCGGCCAGATGGAGATGAGCCCAATCCAGATCACCGGGATGCTCTCTTGCACCAGCCTGCAGGGACTTGGCTTCTCATGGAAGAGTCCGAAGTTCAGGCAGTCCATCCCCTCGTCCACGTCCAGGTCCCCAACAAGGTTGATGCTGTGAATCGTCCTTGGCTGCAGCGGAAGGTAAAGCAAAAACACAACTCGTAGCTTGTGCGAAACGTTGAGAGAGAGAGAGAGAGAGAAAAAAAAAAAGAGAGAAAGAGAGAAAGAGAGAAAGAGAGAAAGAGAGAAAGAGAGAAAGAGAGAAAGAGAGAAAGAGAGAAAGAGAGAAAGAGAGAAAGAGAGAAAGAGAGAAAGATAGAAAGAGAGAAAGAGAGAAAGAGAGAAAGAGAGAAAGAGAGAAAGAGAGAAAGAGAGAAAGAGAGAAAGAGAGAAAGAGAGAAAGAGAGATAGAGAGAAAGAGAGAAAGAGAGAAACAGATAAAGAGAGAGAGAGAGATATATATATATATATGCAGATATATACATATAGCGAGAGACAATCAAAAAACAGAAACTCTGGCAAACTCCATATCCGGGCAGCTCGTAGCATGTCAGCCAGGGGGTCATGGACGTGGGCTCCACCTCTTCGGACTCCGAGGGCGTCTCCGTGGATTGCTGGAGGAGGGCTTCGAAGGACTGGAGCACCAGCTCCAGGAGGCTCTCGCAGTCCTCGGCCATGGCCAACTTCTCGTCTGCCACCGTCGCAAGCACCTCATCTTCCACGTGGGGGAGGTGGAAGCCTCTGAGGCGCGCCCGGCCCTGCAGGGCCTTCAGAAGTAGCGGGGGCGTACCTGCAAGGGCCAGCTGCAGGAACTTGGAGGGGCCCTCCGAGGTCCTCAAGGTCTCCTGCAAGGCCGTCAGGCTCGTGTGGAGGATGTTGGAGTCCTCCAAATCTCTCCAGGCCAAGCCAAGGCCCTGCAAAGGGGCGTCGAGCCTCTGGTGCAGCTCCTTCAGAGCCTTGGCTTTGGCTCTCTTCCTCCGGCCCACCTCGTTGAAGGTGACGCCGCGGCGCTTGGCGCAGGGGACGACCAGGTAGACCGCCAGGGCACACAGCAGCACCGAGGCCAGGGCCGTCAGCAGGGGCAAGGCGAGGAGGTAGGAGCCCACTGCCAGATTCTTGGCCTTGCTGGCGGGCATCTCCGGAAATTGCCGCTCTGCGAAGCACTGGAGCGCAAACTGCACGGAGACGGTGAGGCCCACGACCGAGGTGAAGTCGATGAAGTCCCTCATGGCCTCCTGCACCTCGGGCGGCCATGGGAACCCAGCGTCACGGTCCTCCGAGGGCTTCGACGCTGCAAAGATTGAGCTCCGAAGTTGGTCCAGGTCAAAGGCCCCCATGACGGAGCAGGCCGACATCCATTGGGTTGCCATCCGAATCATGGAGGTGTGCAGCTTTCCGCTGTTTCGCACGGCGGCCGTGGCGGCCATGGACGCCACGAGGAAGTGCACGGCCACCTTGGCGGAGACGTCGAGCACGACGGAGGCTGCCAGCGTGAGGTCGGTGGGCTGACACGCCGCACACGGCGCTTGCAAGCCGTTCCTGGCCCATCCTGCCGGGCACCGTGAACACAGAAAACCTTCAGATCCTTCGGCACAGCGGTTGCCGAGCTCGTCTTCTGCCCAGGAGCAGTTTGGATAGCAATGAGCGTTAATTTCCTGGCTTCCAAGGCAGGCATTGGAGCCGTTGGGTGTCTTCACTCTGCACTTTAGGGCGATGGCCGTCCCCGCCTGGAAGAATCCTTCCTGTGCCACCGGCAGGGCATGCCGTCCTGTGTGGTTGTAGAGCCGGAAGTCGTCGAGGCCACCGCCGCAGTCCATGTTGGCGAGCGCGCCGGTGTTGCAGTCGATGCATCGGACAATCTCCAGCAGTCGTGGGTCCACCTCGGCATAAAAGCCGCTGTCGCAGGAGCAGTTCATGGCGCTAGTAGAGCCGATTGCGCTGTTGGCATTTGTCGAGCACTGCTTCGGGCACGCAGCATCATTGCCGACATTCTCCTTGTAGAAACCTCGTGGGCACAGCGTGCAAGGTGAAGGGCTTGCAGAACTGTTGAAGTAGTAGCCGGCTTGGCACAGGCAATCCTCCACTGCTTTTCCGGCTCCGACCGCACTTGTGGCACCTGCGGGACAAGGGAAGGCCTGCCCTGCGTTACAGAAGAACCCGGCGGGGCAGGCCACACAGCGGCCATCCAGTTCCATATAGCCAGCCTGGCACTGGCACTCTCCAGGCGAGGTGCTGCCCTTAAAGAGCGTCCCGGTGTTGTCGCGAAGGTTCTGGCAGAGTCTGCACGGCACGTTGCCGGCAACATCCTTGTAGGTACCGAGCTCACACGGCTGGCACGCCGAGCCCTCAAAGCCGTAGCCTTCGCGGCATTCACAGTTGCCTCCGACTCGCACCGTGCTCTCGAGACACACGCAGTCTGCGGATGACATGGCTCCAGGCACCATAGTGGTTGACCCGTAGGGGCAACCTGTGCAACTGTCAAGATTCCAGTAGAAGCCTGGCAGGCACTGGCACTGCAGCAGCTCACCTGGGCGCGCAAGCAAAGAAAAAACTCAACAAGAAATTGGGCTCCAGTTTTCGATTCAACAACTCGACGATTCCAAGGCAGGCGACAACGCATGTCTCTGCGCACATCTAGAGTTCCCCCAAGGCTGAGGAGCCGGCTCGAGCCAGCAGGCGCAGTGCTCTCATGGGGACAGCGCTCCATGGCACCACCACCGACGCAGTAATGGCCCGCTGGGCACTCCGAACACATCTGCTGCGACTCGTTGTCATAGGTGCCTGGAGGGCAGACGACCTGGAGGCTTAGCAACTTTGCACGGAAGTCCTCCTCCCAGGTGCAGTTCCGTGCTGCCGGGCACCAGCACACCTCCAGCGCCCGCGGTGCCGGCAGCCGCAGCTGAACCACCAGCCGGAAGGAGTCGCGAAGAAGATCGCGCTGGATGGAAAAATTCTGGTCCTGCAGGGTCTTCGCCTCTGCCTCTGTGACCTCCGGAAAGCCGCAGCGGCTCCTGGCGCGGAGTTGGTCCGCCTCGGTCACGCCCATGCCACGAAAGGTGACATTGCAGGGGGCAGCACCCAGGAAGCAGTCACCTGTCTGGTCCGAGAAGGGGCCTTCCACCACAGCGAAGCCAACCGGGCTGAGGTCGGTCATGTTGCTCGAGTTGCAGTCTGGCGCAGCACATGTGCAGAGCCGGTAGACTCCGGAATCCGGGAAGTCCACAGCAGCTTGGGCTGCGGAGCAGGACCTTCGCATGTCCCGGTCACTGGCGTTACCACTGGCATCGTTCAGCAGACATTCGTGGCCCATGTGGCAGCGTTCGACATCGGGCGCCTGTGCAGGCAAGACAAGAAATCTCCAAAGGTCTTGCATGTAGGTCTCATCCCTGCCGCCGAAGGTAAGCAGCGCGTGCGAGCGCTCATCCCAGATCATGGCGGCGTCCATGCGGCCAGCTGGGCTCACTGTGACAGCCGGAAGCTGGGACCACTCTTCGGTCAGCATGCTATAACGGTACAGGTCTGACCTCAGACATCAGCAGGCTACAGCGTTCAATGCTGCACGATGTTGCGCTGGCTTGCTCGCACACGCACACGCTCTGGACCCCAGCCGCCCAAACGGTGGAAGTAAAAAATGTTTCGTTTAGTTGCCCAGGCACGCATAGCTCAGGTTGCTGGTGTTCGCGACCCCTGCAAAAACGAACATGGAAAGGGTGCCTGCCTCGGATCGAACAAAAAAGCCCTAAACCCCCAATCCCTGAACCCCTGCTGCTTGGCTCATTCCTAGAACTGAAGAGTCGAGGTGCATCCCAGGCAGCAGCGTGCCCTGCCCTGGGGGAAGGTGATCCCAGCGCTGTCAGCTCAATCCAACGGTCGTGCGGGGAGTCATAGCGGTGGAGGTCATCCAGGTACTGGCCGTCGACTGGGCCGCAGCGTGCAATTGGGCCCTACACTGTACATCTGGCTTTCGGTTGCCTTTGGGTTCCTTCCGACAGCTTTGTTTTCTCCCTGGAGCACTTCCGGAAACAGCCCCCTGTGCAGCAAGGTCCCACCTCCCCTCACAAGTTAGTTACTTTTGGGAGAGCCCATGGCCTGTGAAGCCACCAAAGACCAGCATCGACCGGGTGACCGCATCCCAGACCGCCGTGTGCCGACTTCGAGGCTTCGGGGACGCCTCCGTACACCTGCTCCACGCATCGTCCGCCGCGCTGTAGCGGTGGAGATCGCTCAAGGCCTGGCCACCCTTCCTTCCCGCAAAGACGAGCATGGTCCTCGTGGCGTCATCCCACACCGCGGTGTGCTCCGCGCGCGCGGCCGGGGGGCTGTCTGCAACCAGCTGCTGCCAGGAGGCCGCTGCGCCGTCTGCCAGAAGCCAGAGGTCGGCCTTGAAAACCTCCACCTGCCGGCCACCAAAGACCAGCATGGTCCGGGATGCCGCATCCCAGACTGCCGAGTGGCCAGAACGGCTGCCGGGACTGGGACCCGTGATAAGAACTTGGGACCAGGACCGCAAGGGCCAGCTGTAGCGAAAGACGTCACTGAAATACTCGAAGCGAAGGCTCGCCTGGCCTCCGAAAAGGAGCGCGGACTCGGTCGAGGCGTCCCACACCAGGGTGTGCCCCTGCCGCGCCGCCGGCCCGGGTGCTGTGAACTGGCTCCAGCCCCCCAAGTCGCACCGCACACCTGCCCGTTCAAGGATCTCGCATCTCGGTTTCGGGCTTAGAGTCTAGCGTCTAGGGTTTAGGGTCTAGGGTTTAGGGTTTAGGGTTTGGGGCTTAGGGCTTAGGGTCTCAAACACTCGAAGCCGACGTGTGGCAGGGGTCAAGTTTTGGGGTGGCGGATGGTGGCGGTGCCGCCCTTCTCCTTTGAAGTGGAGGAGCCCAATCAGCCATCCGCTCCCGATGAAGGATTTGAGCTTGGGTGATGGGATCCTACTGATGGGAAGTGTGTCAGGGATGTACAGGGATGTACAGGGAGGGTGCTGCTGGAGATGCTGTGGAAGTGCGCTCGGGTGGGGTTTGGAGCTGTTGTCCTTCATCGAGTTCCACATCTGGGGGTCCCTGCGGTGTTGGAGCAGGTTGAGCGCTTGAGGGTGAGGCGGTGATGAGGGCCGGCGTGGCCGTAGTGCTGAAGGACTTAAACCGCACGACCTCAGATTTGTTGCCGTCTGCATGGCTCCTTGACTACGGTACTCCCCCCCCCCCCCCCAATATCGTAAACCTCCGGCCCTAAACCGTAAGCCCTAAACCCTAAGCCCTATGGACCCCATAAGGTACGCCCCCCCCTAAGATCGTAAACCCCCAAATCTTGTCGCAAGACCCTAAACCCGAAACCCTAAACCCTAAATTAACCCTAAAATATCCTAAACCCGAAACCCTAAACCCTAAATTACCCTAAACCCGAAACCCTAAATCCTTAAACCCGAAACCCTTATCCCTAAATTACCCTAAACCCGAAATCCTAAACCTGGGGCCTGCCGCTTCGCTTGGGGAGCAGTCGTGCACTCCCCAGCCACGGAAGGCACAGTCCTGGGGACAGGGACAAAGAGCATGGCCCTCGGGTTTAGGGTTTAGGGTTTAGGGTTTAGGGTTTAGGGTTTAGGGTTTAGGGTTTAGGGTTTAGGGTTTAGGGTTTAGGGTTTAGGGTTTAGGGTTTTTAGGGTTTAGGGTTTAGGGTTTAGGGTTTAGGGTTTAGGGTTTAGGGTTTAGGGACTACTGGATGGCCTGCACACTGACTTCGCCGCCGCTGCAACGAACCCCATCCAGCAGAATCTCGCCGACGTCGCTTTCGAAGGAGAGCGCGGCACCGCCCGATTTCCCAAGATCCTTGCAGACGACCTGAGCTCGATGTGGCGGTCTTAGCTCCTCCTCTTGGAGGTTCATGGGTTCTTATAACCACGGTTATAGGTCTACTTATAACCTACTTAGGGGACTTAGGGGGCTATAAGTGCAGTTGTAATTAGGGTATAAGTACCCTGAACCTCAAAGCTCTCGCCCTCCCCCATCCTCGCTCCCCCCCGTTCTTTTCTTTGCCATTGCTTGTTCGTTGGTCCTTCCTTCCTGCTTCTTCCTTGCTTCCTTCCTTCCGTCCTTCCTTCCGTCCTTCTTCCTTCCAAGCATTGATGTTGTTATTTCGTTTTTGTCGGGTTTCGTCAGATTGTATTGTTCATTGCCTCATGTGCTTGCGTTTTCACACATCTCTCTCTCTCTCTCTCTCTCGCTCTCTCTCTCTCGCTCTCTCTCTCTCTCTCTCTCTCTCTCTCTCTCTCTCCTACCTACTACTACCTATTATGGGGCTTGTGTCTTTCCAGGCATTGTCTTTCCAAGTTCCCACAGCAAAAGTAAGACAATCATCTTAGATCTGAAATTTTGGTATTGCATTTCGGCTTCCTGGGACTCGTTATTAATACTAACGGTCTGTGAACACTGAATCAAATAAAACTCAGATGTCCAAAACGTTTCATGAAAGGCTTGTAAGGTAGCTGTACTTTCATATGATGTTGAAAGCTTTTTTCTGTTGTGCAATTCATTCACCTCCCCAGTTTCTGTGCCTTTTTCTGTTAGTTCCCTGCGTCGGGTCCAGAAGCAGGCGACACACTAAGCGCAGCCCGCGATGTATTGCAATTGCTCAAGTCTGTCAGCTGTATACAAGCCTTGCCTCAAGGCATGCAATCCCATCTCCCAAACCCTAAACCCTAACCCTGTTATCACGAACCCCAAGGCAGCCCCCGGCTGCGCGGCCAGGTCGTCCCGCCATCATCGCAAATAAGCCCCACAATTTGCCATGCCTCACTTCCAGGATGCCCGGGGCGCAGGCGCAGGCCTCCCCACTCATTGCGCGGGGTGGGCGAGAAGAGATCTGCAGGCACAGCCCAGCTGGAAGAGGACGACCGGCTCTGGGGAGCCCGTCCCCAGGCCTCCATAGCTTCCCATGCCAAAGCACCGGGCGCTGTCGTCGCTCAGCAGCACGCAGGTGTGGGCGTAGCCGGCGACCACCTGTCGGACGCGCAGCGCCCAAGATCCAGGCGCTCGAGCTCCTCCATCTCGCCGGCCTCATCGCCGACGATGATGTGGCGGTTGTCACCATTACCCAGCTGCCCCGACTCGGCGCCACCCAAACACTTGAGGCTGTCATCTTGAAAGATGGCGCAAAGAATGATAGCCGCTGGTGGCAAGATGAACGGCCCGGAGGCCCTGGCCCAACTCGACTGCGACGGGCTCGAGGAAGGCATCACGTTGCCTGCCCTAGCTGGCCAAAAAAGTTCTCTCCCCATTTAGGACCCGTCCTCCAGGAGTGCGCAGTTGAAGTTCCCCGGCGCTCGCTATCTGTGTGACCCGCGCGCCAAGCCGAATGGCAGGCAGTGCCTCGCCCATGCTTTCAGGGCTCCTCCCAATGTTGGAGTTGTCACCCTGCCCGAGCTGCCCGGACCCCCCATCTCCCCAGCACTTAACCTGTCCTTCCTGAGACAAAGCGCAGTTGTGCAGAATACCCGCTGTGAGTTGCGCGACCACGAAACTCGCACCCAGATCGATCGCCGGCAGTTCGTCTCCCAGCTGCCCACCCTGGTGCCCTCGCTGCTGGGTGTCGCCGAGGCCCAGTTGGCCATTAATGTTCCATCCCCAGCACTTGGCCCTCCCGTCTTCCAAGACAGCACAGCTGTGAAACCTTCCGGCCGTGACTTGCAGGGCTCGGGCGCTGCTTCCGAGGTCCACGAAAGGCAGTTGCTCTCCCATCTCTCCAAGCCCTGCCCCGATGTCCGACGCACTGCCCGACCCGAGCATGCCAAACATCCCCATACCCCAGCACTTCACCCCGCCACCCTCCAGCAGGGCGCACGTGTGCCAGTTCCCACAGGCCACTTGCAGTGCCCTGGCCCCAGGGCCGAGGTCCACAGCGGGCCTTATACGTCTCCAATCACCACGGAACAAATACAGGACAAGCTGTACTATTCTTACATATTATTTCCACGATTATTCATATTATTCTTATTACTCTTTTATTATTCTTCCTACCCAATAGTTCCTACTCAACAAGGAAACCCAAAAAAAAAGCTTAAAGCTCTACTACGGGCTCAGGAAGTTGGCAGGTCCTGGCCCATCTCGGAGGGCCCCGCGCCCCGGTTCTGGGTGTCCCCATACCCCAGCTGCCCGGCGTCGTTTGCACCCCAGCACTTCAGCTCTCCAGCGCTGGTGAGGATGGCACAGGTGTGCTGCCCATTTCCGGCAAACCTAGCTCGTGGTTGGGATAGCAGTAAAAATGAGAATGTGGATTCCTTATTGGGATTAAGTACCCTGAAAAATCTAGAATGTTACCCCACTATGACAAAGAAACAGGGTGAGGATCGGCTTGCTCACCGCCTTCCGGCGTAGCTGCAGGTCTCTCACGAGGCTGACGGTGTGAGTCGCCGTGTAGCCGGCGACGGCCCAGTCCAGCACACGGTGGCCATCAAGCCTGCCCATGAAGCGGACGCACTCCGTCCCAACCGGAAGGGTCAGCTTCACCTCCTGCTCAACCCCCAGCGCAGCAGACCAGAGCAGCCACCAACGCCCGGTGGCAAAAAAGTACCTTCGTTGCTGAGTTCATAAAGGCCCCCCCCCCCAAAAAAAAAATGTACACTTTCAGTTCAGTAGGTGACTAGACCATCCCATAAGAAGTGCACAGGTGTACTCATTCAGCTTCTAAGGTACACCTCCAAACTCTTGTCCTCAGCTTCGGCCTCTCTCAGATTCAGCTGCATGCGGACGCTCTCCGCGATGCTGGGGAAGGTGGGGCTTCTCCAGGAGAGAAGGTAGTAGGGGTAGCCGCCAAGCAGAAGCAGCTCCTCAAAAGGGAAATTCAGCATGGATTTGCAGCCAAACACCAACACATGACAGGGTTTAGGGTTTAGGGTTTAGGGTTTAGGGTTTAGGGTTTAGGGTTTAGGGTTTAGGGTTTAGGGTTTAGGGTTTAGGGTTTAGGGTTTGAGTTTAGGGTTTAGGGTTTAGGGTTTAGGGTTTAGGGTTTAGGGTTTAGGGTTTAGGGTTTAGGGTTTAGGGTTTAGGGTCTAGGGTTTAGGGTTTAGGGTTTAGGGTTTAGGGTTTAGGGTTTAGGGTTTAGGGTTTAGGGTTTAGGGTTTAGGGTTTAGGGTTTAGGGTTTAGGGTTTGAAGTATGAAAACATGATTGTGAGGCAATGACGCCGGCTCCTCGCTCTCGATCACCCACTCGCAGAGATCCGCAGAAAAGTTCTGGCAGCTGATGTTCTCGGGCGCGGTGGCCACGTTGAGCGCGAGCACCGAGTCCAGATGTATGAGCTCATTGGCTGCTGTCGTGGCCAAGAGGCGCAGTGCCGTGCTGCCGGTAGGGACTGCTACGACGGCCTCCTGCCATGTTGCCTGGCCGCCACCGCCCAGCCACAGACTCGCCCAGCTGGCATTGATCGTCTGGCTCTGAACCTCCAGGGCGTCGTCCGAGCCCGTGAGCTTGTAGGCGAATGCCAACGCCATGGGCTTCTCCGTGGCTTTGAAGCTGCTTTCCAGCATCGAGGTGCGGTTCTCTGACGCGTTGGAAGTTGCCCGGAAGATCCCTGTTTTGGTGTGGGCATCAGGGGCATCAGTGGCCTCCGTCGAAAGCTGGCTGCTGTTGAATGCGCCCGGCAACCAGGCACACAGCCCAGTCTCAAAGCCGCAGGCCAAGTCGGCTAACTCCAGCGGCCCGAAGTCCACGGAACCAACTGAAACATCGCCCTCCTCCTTCAGGTTTATGAAACGGAGGGAGCCCCCTAATATAGAACCCCAAAATAGGAGGATTCCCTTTATAACAAGGAGCTCCATAAGGTACCCCCCCCTAATTTCGGAAGCTCCTGGGAGTCCGTGGTGAAGAGAACGAATCGCAGGATTTCGGCCTCCACGGGCACGGCGACGATCGACTCCACTGGAGCCGAATGGTGTCGTTCCGCGTCCCGCCAAATCGTGCTCCAACCTCCCGCAAAGTACTGCAGCTGCAGGCTGCCGGACGCAACTGCGGTTTGAAAGCGCAAGGCGCCGGGAGAGCCGCTGGTGAATCGTGGGCTGCTCAGGGCCGAAGCCTTGCGAAAGTAGTTTCATGCAAGGCCGCGCACACAAGTAAAGGAGCCCTACACCCTACACCCTAAACCCTAAACCCGAAACCCTAAAACCTCAACAAGAGGGGCTCTTAAGATAGATGTTCCAAAACCATGCCCTGCCTTGCTGGAACTGGCGATGTGTCCCTTCATCTCTTCCCCGTCCGAGCTCCAGGCCTGAACCGGGATTTAGGGTTCAGGGTTTAGGGTTTAGGGTTTAGGGTTTAGGGTTTAGGGTTTAGGGTTTAGGGCCCCCCTCCCCCGCGGCTCCCCTCGACTGCCTCGCCCCTGCTGCGCGGGCTACGCAGCTACACTAGTTTCCCTTCCCAACATCAGAGTGCACGACTTCTATGATGCTTTGCAGCCCAAAACGTTGTGCCTGCCTCTCCGGCAATCCATCCGCATGCATTCTCTCGGAAGTTACAACTGACATTGCTAGGTCCTGCAGCCACGTTGAGAGCAAACACCGAGTCCAGATATATGACGGCCGCTGTCGTGGCCAAGAGGCGCAGTGCCGTGCTGCCGGTAGGGACTGCTACGACGGCCTCCTGCCATGTTGCCTGGCCGCCACCGCCCAGCCACAGACTCGCCCAGCTGGCATTGATCATCTGGCTCTGAACCTCCAGGGCGTCCTCCGAGCCCGTGAGCTTGTAGGCGAATGCCAACGCCATGGGCTTCTCCGTGGCGTTGAAGCTGCTTTCCAGGATCGAGGTGCGGTTCTCTGACGCGTTGGAAGGTGCTTGTACAAACCACTCCCCAGCATGTGCTTCACTGGCAGATTGTGCTAAGGTAGCATTGGAGAGCTTCCAAAAGCACAGGCGACTCTCAAAGCCGCAGGAGAGGTCCACGAAGTGCGCGAGCCGCTCCTCCCCGAGGCAGATCTTCCAGCCGCCTGCCACTTCGCTTCCATCCTTACAAAGTGCTTCGTCAAGATCCCACGTGGTGGGTTACCCAAATAGGGACACCCAAAAGAGATCCTAATAGCAGGATCCCCTTATATTCAGGACCCCAGGAAGGCACCCCTAAACCCTAAACCCCTAAACCCCCAAACCCCTAAACCCCTAAACCCCTAAACCCCTAAACCCCTAAACCCCTAAACCCCTAAACCCCTAAACCCCTAAACCCTAAACCCCTAAACCCTAAACCCCTAAACCCCAGCATCGCAGACCCCCATGTAGCCACCTTGGGTACTTGGGCCAGGTCATGCCAAGGCTCTGAAGACCAGCCTAAACCCTAAACCCTAAACCCTAAACCCTAAACCCGAAACCCTAAACCCTAAACCCTAAACCCTAAACCATGTCATGCCAAGGCTCTGAAGACCAGGCGATCTTGAGCTGGGGCACCACACCCTCCGGACCCGAATTACCTTGGCTGCACTGAGCAGGGTAGCTATAAAGAATATTGTTAGCTGCCTTATTTAGGAAACCCAAGAATTTCCAAAAAAGGCTAAGGACCTAAGGCTACAGTAAAGCACCACAGAGGTACCCGAGTAGAGCGGAGACGAGTCGACGTGGAGCCCGTCATAGTCACTCTCCGTGTCAAAGGCCACCACCTCGATGGGCCTTCTGTTGTCGCATTGAGGGCTTTTTAACGTTCTAAAACCCTAAACCCTGAATGGTTTTCTTGACGTTAAACAACCCTAAACCCTAAACCCTGAACGGTCTTTTGTTAGGTCAAAAAACCCTAAACACCTCGATGGGCCTTCTGTTGTCGTTGGCCACCGCAATCTCACAGGCGTCGTCATTCGGGTAAGGGTCTGGGTAGCCGGTACTGCTGATGCAGCCATCGCTCGTGTTCAAAGTGCAGGACCTGCAAAGCAGACTCCGTTTCTTGCACCCGCAAAACTCTCTACTTCGAGGTTCAGGGCACTTGGTAGCCCAAGTTTTAACTGTACCTGTAACCCAATTATAATAACCCTATTAGGGTACTTAAGGGCTTATAAGTGTGTTGGAAGTACACTTATAGGCGGCTACTAAGTACCCTGAACCTCCAAGTAAGTGCTGTGAAAGACACGCTATTTGAAACGTCTTGGGGCGCGGCCCAGAACTCACCATCCATGTCATCTCCTGCCAGTCAAATAGCGGAGAAGTGAGCTGATAGCTAAGGCAGCTGACTATAGGGTTTAGGGTTTAGGGTTTAGGGTTTAGGGTTTAGTGTTTAGGGTTTAGGGTTTAGGGTTTATCATCCACCGAAATCGCCAAAACAAGGCTGCGCTTCGGGCCTGAAGCTGGCGGGAGGCTGCCGGCGCATCCAAGAGAGCCTGGCTGAGCCACTCTACGAAGAATGTAAGAACGCTGCACCTACTACGATATTCCATTAGGGTTTAGGGTTTAGGGTTTAGGGTTTAGGGTTTAGGGTTTAGGGTTTAGGGTTTAGGGTTTAGGGTTTAGGATGTGATGTGGCATCTTCGCGTGCTGAGCCACGCAAATCCGGCCTCTTCGAGCTGCTGGATGTCCCCTGGGATGGCAGACGGAGCTCTGGCCACAGCCTCCAAAGCAGGAAGAGATGGTACCATGCCGAACCCTAAACCCTAAACCCTAAACCCTAAACCCTAAACCCTAAACCCTAAACCCTAAACCCTGTTTATCAACAATCATTTCTTTTGCTTACAAACCGTGCAGTCTGGACAGAAAACTGCCGGTAGAATCTCCGAAAAAGATGAAAAGCGTCAACAACAATAAGGCCCTATGAAGTATGGCACAATGAAGCAATTCAGAAAGAACCACGCACGGGGAAGGCCGTCACCTTCAACGGGCCCCCCTACGAAATGCTGTACCATACTTTAGTATGAGCACATGATGCAATACAAGGCCCGGATCTGCCATGACGTTTAATCCATTCACTTTGCTTCTGTAGTTTTCTGGTACATGTGCTTTTGGCGCCGCTGGTGCGTCGCTTTCTGCCTACGTCAATATGTGATACAAGTATGCCAGCTCCATTGCAAAACGCTTCGCCATGCTATATAATTGCTGCGTGCCACTGCTACAGCACGGTGCATACTATACATCTCGTCTTCAGTCTATACTGATTCGAAGTCCCTGCACTGCCCATTGCCGTCCCACAAAGTGGGCCCAAGCGCACCTGTTCTACATGCTCGCTGTCCCCCGAAACTGCAGTGTAGTACACTTCTGTTTGGTGTATAGTATAGAACAGATAGTATAGTACAGTATAGCACAGCATACTCAGAGTACAACAGTATAGTACAGCGGTGTAAAGTACAGCAATGGTCCAGCAAAGCTTCCTGCCTCAGCGAGGCAGAGCTTGAAGCCAGCGTTGCTCCCTGCGCTGCTTTCCTGAGCACAAGCCCAGTGTCAATAACAAGCAGCTGTAGCTGACTACTACTACTACTACTACGACGACGACGACGACGACGACGACGACGACGACGGTGGTCACTACTCCCTGCTACTACCCCTACTGCTACTACTCCTACTGCTACTCTACTCCTACCCTACTCCTACTCGTACTCTGACTCCGACTCCTACTCCTAACTACTCTACCACGACCACCACTGCCGTAGTTACCACTGTCGTGCCTCTTAACTGCCTGCGGCTGCGTGGCAGCACGCCAAACGAGGAGCCCCTTCGGCACGACCCCGTGGGGCGCCACCAACCCAGTGAAGTCCTCACAGCAGAAGTGGTGCGTGTCAAGTGGCAGTGTAGTGCGCTGCAGTGTAGTCTGCCCATGTCTGCCATTGGCTGCAGCATGCTTCTTAAGAGCCGCCTGCCGAAACACCATAGACACTGCATGGAGCACTGTACATTAGGATGTTCCTTCTTATACTAGTAGTCATTCATAGGGATTGTAACAGGGGGTACTAGAATCCCTACTAAGAAGCTGCTAGTAAAAAGGGGGGAACATCCCAAACTGTGCGCGACAAACTTTCGGGTCCTCGCCATTGACCCGGAGCACGTCGTGGCCGGGTACTGCCTGGAAGGCCAGCACGTGAAGGGGCCGGTCGTTGCAGGGCTCCACGTGGATGACACAGGTATTCTTGTCCTCAGATTTCTCCATCTTCCAAAGAACCCGTGGGATAGCAGCCTGCCTCTGGAATAGAATCACTTGCAGAAGGAAGAAGCCCACAACAGGCTGAAAACCGAGCACTAAACAGAACCCTAAACCCTAAACCCTAAACCCTAAACCCTAAACCCTAAACCCTAAACCTAAACCCTAAACCAAGTACCAAACAGACCCTCGCGTCAGGAGAGTTCTCGGGATGGCCGGCACCGGACACGCAGGGGCCTTCGATCGCGCAGGACCTTGCAGGTCCCCGGCACACTTGCAGTTCATAGGGTTTCGGGTTGAGGGTCGAGGGTTTAGGGTTTAGGGTTTCTGGTTGAGGGTTAAGGGTTTAGGGTTTAGGGTTTAGGGTTTCGGGTTTAGGGTTTGGGACCTTGCAGCTCCCGGAGTTTCATGCGATCGAAACACAAGAACGACCCCACGTGCCAGAGAAGTACCCCGCGGTATCTTGACTTTCAAAACCGCTCTCCATGCACAGCCTTGGAGTCCTGGGTCACCTCAGACCCTAGACCCTCAAACCCTAAGCCGCTTCTGGGGGTCCGGGCCCAAACACCACCCTCCAGGGTTTAGACGACTGATCCGAAGCTGGACACGGAGGGCCTGGAAGCCAAAGGCCATGCTGGCTTTTTGGCTCTTTGACATGGAAGCGCATGCTTCATATGGTCACTTCTCTAAATCCGCCGAGGCCTCGGGCCGGAGGTGTATAGGTTGTGAGAACAGGCACCCCGCTCCAAATCCTCCCCCCACACTCAAAGCCATTTTCGGACCCCTTGTTTTTGCCTCAAATGGGTACCCCCCCTAGGAAACCGGGGTCCGCAAGCGGACGGTTCACCAGAACCAGAGGCAGTTGAAGCCCCTCCCAGTAGGGCCCCCGCCCCCCTTACCCCCCCCCTATCCCCGCCCCCCCTTCTCTGCCCCACCCAAAGCCACTACGGGCTTTTGGTGAGCGGCGGGTTTTCGAGGCTCAACTGGTGTGAGGCCGGGGATGCATTACACGAGCAAACCTTAAACCTTAAACCTTGAGCCCGAAGCACTAGACCCTCAACCCCAAACCCAAACCCCCCCCCTCCCTGCCCCCCTTGCCTCCCCTCCCCCCCCCCCCCCCCCCTCCCCCCTTCCCCCCTACCCCCCTTCCCCCCCACCCCCCCTGACGGGCCTGGCTCAACCCTACGATCAATCCAAGCCGAACCGTCTCAACCCTCAACCTTGAAGGAACCCTAAACCCTAAACCCAACCCTTATTGCTTGGGGTCCAGCGACTTGGGCGCTGCGGAATCACCATGCTCACGCGGATGCGCTGTGCCGGGCCGAGGCGGGTCGCGTAGCGGTAAAATTATGGTCCCTTACAAGGTTACCATGCCGAGGCGGCCCCGCTCATTTAGGGTACCCCAGAAAGGGATCAGGAATTTAGAGAACTCACGGTATGTCTTTATGCCTTAAACAATTGTCACATGAAGAATACTTCACTGCGTCCCCCTGTACAAGGCTCGTCTCCTCCGTTTTCAGCTCCGACCAGCCACACTCCATGAAGGCCTGCAAGAACTTTGCGACAGGGCTCTTAAAATCACTCAGGAAGCTGCCGTGGCTCGTACAGAATGAATCTATACATATACACAGATATATATATATATATATATATATATATATAGTACGTACATACATATATATATATACCGCTTAATGGCTGCAAGCATCCTGTGAAGAACCTTTTTGCAGGCGCCTGCCACCAGCATCATGATCCTCCTTACCACCTCCATCACCATCAGCCGGCGCATTCCTGGCGAACGGCAACCGATCAGTCCCGTCTGTCTCTGGCCTAGTTCGAGCTTGGGCCTGCCTGCGCAAAGATGCAGGGATTGCAGTGCCACGCAGGCTTGATCTGTTTGATCTAGCCGGCTGCGGCACTGGGGAGAAGCTCTGAACAAGACACTGCGCATGCGAGGGTAAATTTCCAAAACTCAGCATCACCGGGCCATTTCTGTCTTTTCACCATTCGGTGCGATTTCACGAGGGGCTGCAGGCGATCACTGAAATCGACGGGGCCCACACTTTTGGTTAACTGGCTTTTGCTTGGGAAAACCTCAAATTGGGACTCTTTCGCTGTCGCCCGAACGTGAGATGCCCGCAGCAAGAACCAACAGGTTACAACCACGAGAATTGAAGACAACTCCGGCGACGTCTCTTGTGTCCTCCTTCGGCCCCTGCCACGCCCCCTGAACCGTGCTTTTCAGTGCTCATTTCCTGGAGATTCTCCGCCCCCATGAGCCTAGAAGATTCGAGGAGCCAAGGGAGCTCTCTAAAACTCAAACGGAAGTATTGGGAATTCCTGCCACTGGCCCTGCTCTTGTGAAGGGCAGGGTAGACTACGACCCAGATGATGACACTGAAGGGCATCTCATACCCCGCACTGTCCTGTTGCATCCCTGTAGTATCCTGTAGAGTCGTATGGCACATGGCAGAGTTACTATGCCCCAAAGACTGAGCCCGAAACCGCTGTGCCCCAAAGCCACAGCGCAAACAACCCAATGTTTTGAACCCTGGAACCCTTTAACATGGGAGTTTACGACATTTGGGGTACCCTTTTGGGGGGTTCCTTGTTCTCGAAAATCCCCATATATCAGAGGGTTCGCATTTCAAGGCTCAAACTTATTGTCGCTAGGAAAATTTTGTGATTTTCGATTGCGTTGTCACATTGTTGTCGGACAACCCCCACCTTTTTAGAAACTTTTCTGTGGCACAACCGAGGCTGATGTTTCAGGATCAGAGGCTACTGACTCATGATCAGGTTCTCTGATTTGGGATTTAGGGTTTAGGCTAGGCCTGCGATAACACATAATTAGAACTGCTCCATACCGAGACAATAGTGGCTTTTACCAGTTGCTGCATCATAGTTGCATTTTCAGCCGTGGACATTACGACTAGGCATGAACTGCACTGACAGTCGCATGACAATCGCTCATTCGCTCAGTGATGACTGACTGGTCATGTTGTGAATGGGCTACACTGAAATTTCAGGTGAAGCTTACAGATGACGTCCATACACGTCAATCAATCCGTTTGCCGGTTGAAGTTCGACAAACCCCATTTGCAAACATTTCCATGTGTGCCCATGTTTAGCAAATTGCACTCATGATTGCTGCAGAAGCTTCTAAGGCATCGTGAAACGCAGGAACGGCATTGAATTTCAAAACACGTCTTCAGAATATTGTGTTCAGGCGGCAAGGGTGGCCGTCTGACGGGGCAGCAGATTCATCCGAGAAAATGCCTACATCTCGCATCACGTAGTCGCAGCCCCATTTTCTCAAGGAATGCCATCTCGACTTTTTGTTAGGCACCACGTGACTTTGCCTTGTCCCAGTTGCCCGACAAAGAAACCCTGAAGGTTTTGGGTTTCAGGGTTTGGGTCTAGGAAGTGATGCTTCAAGGGGTGAACAAGAAGTCTTTGTAAGCGCCCCTTTAATGTAGTGAGCAATGTTACTTGAATTTTAAGGGATTAAAATAACGTACGGATTCCAGTAAAAGTGAGAACGGTTTACAGGCGTGCATTCTTTTCTTTTCTTTGTTCGCACGCCTCTGTTACAACGAAGAGAACAAAGTGAGTACAATACATGAAGTGATTCTTCTGAACAAATTAATTTGTATGCACGCGTGAACGAAGTGTGAGAGAAAAGAGAACAAAAGACTTATGCTATTCTTAGCTGCTATTATTAGCGCGCGAAGTAAAAGAGCACGCGTGAAGAGAGCACACTAAGAACAATACAAATGAATGAACACAGTGAATGAGTGCGTGAATATTCTGAGGGAGCGCACTAAAACCCCCTTCACATCGTGAAATCATGCGCCACGCGTTTGCTTTTGCGCGTTGCCCCTGGCAGTGATGAGGAGATATCCACGATACCCTGCATTGTCAGTCCATACAAGCCAGGATTCATTTTTGGCAACCGCGTTGGCTCCTGGATGAAGGCCCAAGAACTGCCGGGGGCGAACTTTATCCACTTGGCAGCGTATCTCTTCAGCAAATCACGGGCCTCAACTAATTGCACACCGACATAGTCGAGTGGCCCTCATGCAGCCCTCGTGGTCGACCAAGTCACCCTAAACGCGAAACCCTAATCCCTAAACCCTAACCCTAAATTTAAACCCTAAACCCTAATCCTCACCTGAGGTGGCAAGGACAACATCCTCAACCTTGTGCCAGCGATCTGGTTGGGCCATGGGCACAGACTATGATTCCACCAGGGAACTGAAGGCAAAAGGAAGATGGTGTGATCCTCTGTCCAACCAAACTTATGGCAGATGTAACTTGGATGGCTATGAACTTATAACATGAAGGGCCATGAGATGTGGCTCAGAGCACGTTTTGAATCATCTCATCACATCCTGAGACATCTTACGTTGCGAAGTCACAGTCACACTTGCAAGCTAAATGTAAAATGTCCAGGCTCTTGAGACTGAACATTAGTCAGAGGCCACACGCGCACTTGGCATCAACTATAACCCTAAACCCTAAACCCTAAACCCTAAACCCTAAACCCTAAACCCTAAACCCTAAACCCTAAACCAAACCCTGACAGTCGTCAGGAATCAAACTGGGGCTGGTTGATGCCCAACTGACAAGAATCGGGAGGCACCAACCACGACAGCAGTGAGCCACAAGTCGAAACACCTCCAAAGCTCTGAAGGCTTGAACCCGGGCACCATTAAAGCCAGAAAGTTCTCTCTAACCCCTAAACCCTGAACCCTAAACCCTAAACCCTAAACCCCTAAACCCTAAGTCCTAAACCCCTAAACCCTGAACTCTAAGCCCTAAACCCTGAAGTCCCTCTGCGGGCCTGGAGCAATGATAGTTTCGGCCTAACTTCTTAGGTGGCTCTAAAGGCAATACCGCTTGAAGGCTTGGGGCTGAACTCCCTAGAACTGACAGAATGCAGCAGACAAGACTAGAAGCCTGCTAAAAGACCCCTTCGGCTCTCTCATGAAACCATCATCCCAAAGCTTCCCCCAAGAATATCACAAACTCAACCACACCCTGACCCGCAGGGCCCAACACTTCCCAGGGGCCCTTTTTCGGCGGAGCGCCGAGATTCCGAGGAGGCGCCGCAGGTCCCAGGTGACTGGCCAGAGGCCGAGATCCTGGCCTGAAACCTTCGCGACCCTGCACTTCAGAGAGGCGATCCTCCAGGCGACTCTCCCAAGCTCAAGATGCGGGGGGCAGGGCGCATGGAAAGGCGGCACGGAGGCACAGCGGCCTGCTGGCGCGGCTGCCTGTGCCAGGCCCGCGGCAGCGCCGCCGTCTGCAGCGGAGCGTCCGAAGAGCACGCGCACCGCCGCCTTCCGGGGCGGTGCCCCCAGCGCCAGCGCCTGCGCAGCCAGTGCCCCCGCACGCCACGCGCAGAGCCCCGCCTCGCAGGCCAGCACTCCGAAATCTGAAGCGCTCCGATTGCAACCGCCCTTAGCTCGTCCGGGAGCCGCTGATCACGTCTCGAAAAGAGGGCCAAGAAGGCCCCAAGCAGGGCCTGATCTGGAACCCTCCGAGAGCAACCCCCCACCACCCAAAAAACCATCATCGGTGATCTCTCAAGTAGGGTGCCCTTTTTTGGAGAATAAACAGTAGGTTGC